CCCCCCCACCCCCCCCCAGATATTCCGATCAAAATTTTGTATGCATTTCTCATCTTTTCCTCGCATGCTACTCCTTTACTTAATTACTTTAATTATTTACTTAAAAGTACAAAGTATGAAGCTCCTCGTTGCACACTTTTCATCAACTCCTCGTTACTTCCTGTCCTCTTTGTACTAATCGCCATATTTTGTCTCGCGTCAGACCACTGCAGCCATGGAGCGTCTCCTCTCTGACGAGGTAAGAGACAAACAGCCGAGCTGGGATCTTTGTCGATTATTTGAGAGGGGGGGATTCACAATAGGAAAAGGAAGTTACGAGGAAGTTCAGACCGTTGTGGTTCACACAAGGATTTTCCTTAAAGTTTGGGCCAGCTTCCCTTTTCAGAGCCCTCTCTCCACACCCTTTACCTCAATTCCCAATGGCCATAACCACCCCCCAAATTTAACGGACTCACATCCAATATTACCGCAATTCATCCTGAAGATGGACGCGATATATTCCTCCGAAACATCAGTTACCACGGCGTCGTAACCGGGAAGTAACAAGAGTAATGTAGTTGTTAATGGGCCGAAATCTGTGCCAGTTCGTCACTGAACAATCCTTGCCAACATGCTGACTGAGGCGGACCGAAGTTTATTTAATCCCTGTAAATTGTTAGTCAAACAATGGGGCAGGCCAGCTATGCACTGAGTGTTACAAGCTTCACATCAGTACAGCGACTACCGTTCATGAAATAAAGACCTAACTGATTACATCAGACAGTGGATGTTGGATTAGTTCACACACAATAACCGCGAAATATGACGGTAAAACGGATGTGATACTCCACAAGCAAGCTCGTAGCTACGCAACCGAAACATTCACATTCAGAACGACTAACAATTATTAACAACCAGAAAAAGATGTTAATCCAAGTTAACAGAAAAGTAATTACACATTTCAACTTTCAAACAACTTATGATATATTAGTATTTAATTGTACGTGACATACGCGGCTTCGTGGCCCAATATAGCGGAAATACATTCGTCGACTCTAACAAGTAACAAACTCATAAACAAAAGAATATTTTCGATGACAGTTTAACGTTTATAAATTTAAATATTTTAAAGAACTCAATCGAAAACTATAGTACCAGAGTGCGCAAAAATTCATTGCACATATTTTTAATTTTCCTCATTTGACACATGTTTTTATATCGGTGGGGCCCGTTCAGTAACAATTAATTACCAAACTTCTTTACTTGAGCTAATGAAACTGTCCACAGTCTGTTTCAGATCTTTATGCAAATCATCTTATTTTTAAATTATTACTTTTATTATTATTATAATATTTCTGGGGTTACTGTAGGCGTTTTAAATTGTTAATAAGAGGAAAATGCACTAAGTCGTCCATTGGCTGTGGGAGCAGAGATACAGTCGAAGTATTCCAACAACCGATACGACGCTTTCTTAGGGCAAAATCCACCGTCAGGCCTTTAAAGTTTTTTTTTTAAAAAAATAAAGTCTAGCATTCACTACGTATCTGAGAGTGGACTTTACCCCCCCCCCCCACTTCATGTATCTATTGTGTGGGGCCGTCAGGTACAGCTGCACTTCATCGATTGATCAACTGAAGTAGACAGGTCATCTCCGGAAAGAGTTGGATTTTAAAATTTGAATTCTTTTAACTTTAGTAATCGTTAGAAAACAGGCAATGGACAATGAAAGATCAAAATATCGTAATAATACCTTCCATTTACCGCGTAAAGAGTAGAAAAGAGAACAAATAATTAGATTAATCTCCAAAATCAAATTTAAATTGCCGGTCTCCACGTGTATTCACTGCCAGCTAGAGAACGGATAAACCGATTAAATTAAAATGCACTTTAAAGATCCGATTTGACTCAGCAGAGATCAGCTGTAAGGACCTGGGGCAGATGAATATTTGAGCTACATTTCTTAATCCTGTTGCGTTTCTCTGCCGCAATTATGGGAACAGAAAAGAGAAGGTGTGGGTAAGGCTAAATGTACCTTTTTACCCCCCGAGTGTCGGCAAACTTACACCGCGGTGTTTCGTAGGAATCCAAATAAAACGCAATCTCATTCCAAGTATGAAATCGCTGACAAGATTGGATATTTAATTCCCTTACGTTTCATCTCGAGATGGAAAGACGTCAATTTAACACGGATCGAAATTCTGTCTACTGAACGTTACGTTAGAAATTGCCTGGATTAAGCCAGTAATTTCGCGTTCGTTTTAATTTCCTGAACACGTGTAACGGAAACTCCTGATACAATTATCCGAGTTGCGGCCTGCGATTTTTTCATTACGATTAATCTGACATAACGCAACCTCTAACTAACTAGATGGCTTACGGAGCCCGAAGGTTCATCACCGAATTAACCAAAGCCCTCCACCGGACCCTGTCCTGGGCCTACAAAATCCAGTCTCCTTCGACTCCTGTCTCCCATAGATCCCGCCTGAGATTATCCTCCCATCGACGTCTAGGTCTCCCCAGAGGTCTCTTCCCCTCAGGCTTCCCAACCAACACCCGGTGCACACCTCTTGTCCCATCCATGCGCGCTACATGCCCAGCCCATCTCATTCTTCTCGACTTAATCACCCTGACAATATTGGGGGAGGAGTACAGATTTTTAAGTTTTCTCCACGCCCCATCGTCTTCTCTCCTAGGCCCAAATATCCTCCTCAACACCCGATTCTCAAACACCTGCAATCTGTGTTCCTCCCTCTGAGTGAGAGACCAAGTTTCGCACCCATACAAAATAACAGGCAGAATTATTATTTTGTACATGTAATGCAATCTCTAACGTATAAATTTATTACATTTGTTGTGGAAAGTTCACTACAAGACAATTGTTGCCAACTTCATAAATCTGTCATTGGAGAGGAGAACATGGCGAGTAGATTTTTGTGAATTAAAACTGTTTTGGAAATAAAATTAATAACATTTAGTACAAAAGACACGAATAATACAAATAAATTATTCCACTCTCTGCTACACTTTCCGTTTATACGCCATATTTACACCTTTTTTTCATGCACACGAACAAAACTGCAAATTTTATATTGATAAATCAGTGTGAAGATGTCGATTGTGGTTAGGTTAGGTTTGGTTACGTCGCCGCGTTGTCTTGTATGTGATTATTGATATTCTGGAGAGACGTACCGTCTCCATCTTCAACCTGAATCCTCTAATAGTGTAAAGATTGTATTGGACAGTGAATCGGGGTTTAAACTCTTACATTAATAAATAACAGACAACTTGCATCAGACTGAACAAAATTACTTTAACGCGACGTTATAACCGAATGTATTGGTGTGTGGAGCCTGGGTCGTCACGTGACAGGATTCACTTTGTATCAAAACAGACCAAAGTCCTCTATCTAAGACAGATCTGTGGGACTTCTTTTCTCAGTAAAATAATTGAAATAATCACGGGATTTGCTGTAGGGTACTAACTTAATCTCCTCGTTACTTCGTGAATATAATTCTGATTCTTGACCAAATTCAGCTTCTTCGTATTTTCAAAGGATTTTGAACACCTCTTTTAACTAAGAGGCGCCCAAGGTTTGGTCATTCGACGATGACGTATATCACGGCATGGAACATACTCTGTATAATATTTTCGACTTGTGTTTTAATAAGGAATCACACTATGAAGAGCTTTAGGGCGAATTTTGTTTCAGTCTTACAGGCTAAAAGAATTTCAATTGAAGATTATTTCGAGGACAAATATTAATAATACTAACAACGCAATATCTTACAACCACTTTAGTGCAAATATACATATTTATTTCTCATTCTACACATGAAACGCAGAACTAATGAGGTAAGGCAAGCAACTCAATTTGGCCGGCAAGACAGAAATGGAGAAAGTTCAACAGAATTCACGGGGCAAATCCCTCGAAACCGATCCTCGTGCAAAGAAATGCGACCATGCCCACTCACTTACGTAACAGCAGTCAGATTTTTATGCAATGCCTCAGAAAAGCTGTGTATACAGAACTCCTAACCCATGGCAATAAATGTTATACGCTGTTTAGCGCGAGTATACACAACATATTTTCCTTCTGCACTCCAACTGACTGACGCAACCTGGAACAATAGTTAAGCAAAGAAAATGTGGAACTTAAAACTCCGGAACACCGCGTCTGGGAGAAGTGAGTGGTTACGTTTCCATAGCAACTTAATGATGCACATAACACAGTCCGTTACTCTCAAATACGTCCATGTACTTGTAACATAATTTATTTCTCGATATTCACAATAATTAATCTTCCATTAACCACTTTCCATCTGTCTGTTAAACACGTGTGATAAATGGTAATATTCTCTTTTGAAGGATAATTCAAATTGCTTGGAAAAGGAGGAAATTAGAACTTGTAACAACACGGCCGAAGACACAGCCCCCCCCCCTCCCAAACACATACACGTCTCTTGTCCTGTCCCCTGTGGCAATACAATTCATGATGAGAGGACATCACAATTTGTAGTGAATGTCAAAATTGTGAGCTACCCCGCTCATATAGCAACATGACACCTGACGCAAAACGACTCAAAATTAAGAACAAATTTCCGCAAAGTATTCCACCTCTGATACTAAATTTTCCTAAGTGTTAACGCTTTCTTAGTTCTTTGCCAATTTTTATGCGTAATTTTAAAGAACTATATCAAACGAACAGTTAATTTTATAGTTACTCTGGTCCGCTAATCTGTCCATCTGTTTCATTTTCTAAATGACTGAACGGATGTAAGTTGAACTGCCACTGGATACGATCTACACAAGAACGCGAGATACTTGTTGTATATCAAATGTAAGTTCTACTTTATTCAAGCTTTCTAAATTTCCTTAAGAACAGAAAATGACGAAGGACATCAAATTTAGATGAAATTCCACGTAGAACACAAGGAAAATGCGATTGTCTTTCCACTCGAAATAACAACTCGCATGAGCTATGCAATAAACGAATCAGTGAGCTATGCAAACCCGCAAAGAATTAACTGTTACGAGTCTACTCCCATTTTGAGGTACACTTTTCCACTGAGGTTTGAGGTTCTCAATGGCGGAGATTATACAGCGCGTGGAAAACCTCGCAGTTTTATAATCGAATAAGAGTCAATTTTGTGTAATTTGGACCATAAGATTTCATGAAATATTCCGAACGAAAAATTTAATCAGAATCTTTCAAGAAGAGTGTCACTTGGTGGACTAACAGATTGGAACAGGGTATCGATCGTGGTACGCAAAAGTATTTATTAGTTACTTAATTTACAGCTTCAAAGCTGAGGAGCACATTCTTCCCAATATCACACCAAGACAATGACAAGCCACTCTCCTGCAGACTTTCGGGTCTTAGGTTTCCAGACCGCCACCACACCGTGCCACAGACCTGCACAATGACACACTAATTACAGCGAAAATAAAACCTCTACTTAGGTCTCTAAAACTTCTCTTATTACTACCACACATTACTGTCAACCCCGATTTACCCCTACGCCCTGATTTCTTTTCTCCCTTTTTTAAACTGAAAGCCTGGAGCAAATCCTACCAATTTGTTTTCCCTCCCACGACGTCCTGTGCTTTAACTCACGTACATTACAATTTAATCGGTTTCGTCTGATATTACTCCCTTCCCATATTCGCGCCAATGGGTGTCTGTTCAAATGGCGTGTACTCCCTCCTCTGACACACCCATCCCATCACAGAAGATTTATGTCCGTTATTTTACGAATAAAACCTTCTTGCAGACGGACAAATGTGACTATCAGATGCCTGCGTGTTGTCTGCAAACAGGAAAATATTGTACCTTACAGTTTCGGGCTACGCCACTTCACACCATACGATTTTACTGGGTTCGTGTTTGGTGCTTCTTGGATGTTATTAAAATCGTGACGTACCACCACGGAGGAGAAACTGAGATGCAAAGAAAACTTATCCGTGCTCTCGTGACAAACTGAAGGTGTTCTGCGAAATGGAGGTAAACATCCACGCATTCCTAATCTCAGGTCAGATTTCTTCCTCCGGGCCTTCTTTTTCCTGTGGGGCAAAGTCCTTCAGCTGCCAGTTAATACTAGTTTGGCTGATCACAGAGCCCTTTAGAACGTGGTAAAGAAATATATCACGATTACTCACGTGGGACTCAAACCGCGGTCCACAAGACACCAACCTCTAAATATAAGAGGTTCTGTCTTGTGAGCAAATGGATGCACTGTTGTATACCACAAAATACTACATAATCCAAATCAGTTCAAGACAGACTTCAACAAGGTTGTAAAATCATCAAAATTTGATTACAGACTGACGTATGTTCGAACTTGAACTGCTCTGGTCTCATTCAAAGCTGGAACGTAAGTCCGCTTCTATACTGGGATACTGGGAACGACCCGTTCTTCAAGTGCCTGAGCACTGGGGGTCCCAACTTTACGTTGGCTTCATCTATAGACAGTTGGTAGGACTCCTTGGATGAGGGATCGGCCCGTCGCAAGGCCTCTACCCCGCTTCTATAAGTACAACTAAACGAGAGTTAGAGATATAATGCACAAGTTAATTAATGTTTTAGCATTCTTAGCGTTAATTCAGACTAAGCAGAAAATTTTGAATTTGTTAATTTAAATTAATTATTTGGTTTTCCGTCAAATCACAATGTATTTAAAATAAGATAATTAAAATAATTAAAATATCATTCTGTGTTCCGTATCGAATAATCGATTTACAATTGGAACATTATATTTTAATTATTTTAATTATCTTATTTTAAATACATTGTGATTTGACGGAAAACCAAATAATTAATTTTAATTTAATAAGTCGCAATATGACGCAACTACACTATCTTTTGTTAATTTAGTTTACAGTCACCCTATAAATTTAATTTCTAGCTTTCGTCTTGTTATCGGCTGTTTCACAGAGTCTGCAGCGAGTAGACTCAAGACGGCTGATTTCTGTCCGCAGATACGAAACCCAAGGTCAAGACTCACTACCGGGCGCATCGCCTGTCTTTCTGGCTGAATCTGGTTCCGGACTTGCACCGTCCCGGCGGGGACGACGTTCCACCCTCCCACCACATGCTTGAGGACGGCGACCAAGCGATCGGCCCCGGGGGTGGTGACGTCACCCTGGATGGACGAGCCCGCCCTCCAGGCCCCAGCAGCGAAGGCGTCGCCGTGTCCAAGAAGCCACCGTCCGAAACCACGAGCACGTCTTCAACAGCGGCTCAGGCCGGCGGCAAAGCGGATGCGGTCAACGCCAACACTTCCGGGACCGGCGTGACGAGTCGAAGCCTGTTGCCGTCGGACTCTGAGAGGAACGTCGATGACGCGTCCTCAGCTGCAGCTGCAGCTTCCGCGTCGCCACCTCAGCATCCGGAGGACGGTTTCGCCGCGTATTCCACGGCACTGAGCCTCACCATAGCGATCGGGTGCTCCTTGCTGATACTGAACGTCTTGATTTTCGCGGGCGTTTACTACCAGAGGGACAAGACGAGACTGCATCAGGAGGAAGGCGCCGGAAAGAAGCGAGCAGAGAACGGGCAAATGCCGAACAGCATATGCGGCGATCTTCATGTTGTCGACGGGGGCAGCACAACAAATATCAAAGGATCTGACCCCGGAGGCGGTGGGATATTAGGTCAACATCACCATCACCCACACCACCATCATCAACTACCACCGCCAGAATTTGCGGATTTGCCACCACCGACTCCGTCAAACAATTCCTCGTCTGGTACATCCACTCTGCCCAGACCGCCACCGCCCCCCAAAACACCGAAACCAGTCATACCAGCACTGCCTAATCCAAATCAGTTGCAGAGCTGTGGACCCGAGTCACAACCTCTGTTACCACCCCATAACATGCAAATACTAAACGCGGGACCTGGGGGTGGGGGGACACTAACTAAGAAAGGGGTTGCGCATAATAACAAAATGGAGGAACTGCGTGTGTGACAAGAACAGAAGTCCTCTCACCAGACGATCACCACTGACGTGTGAAATCCGCGAGCGACACACACACACAGAGTGAAGTTCGGTGCTGTATTTAATGTAAGTCTGAGCTGGAATTTGGCAGAAAAGTTGAACAACTGTACTTTTAAATTTTACAAATTAAATAAATTGTGGTTACCGTCGGTATTCCTCTGAGTAACAAGTGTCAGAAGACGTTGATTCTCAAAAAAATAAAATAAAATAAAAACATAGTATTCCATATTGCAATGAAAAGATAACCCTCTAGCAAGACACAAATAACATTTTGTATTCAGTGGATTAAGATCTGATATCGTTCTATACGTACAGAAGACCAAAGAATTATCAATAAATCGAGATATATATGGGTATAATATTAAAAATGTTTTGCTCAAGATGACTGACGGCAGAAAGGAATAAGTTTACTTAACACTACGATGATAACGTGGCCTACATCAAACATTTAACTTTCCCTCGAAGTTACAATGAAGAATGAAAACTGCACAACAGACGGATTCCATCACTCGCATTTCAAATTCGAAACTTTTCACACACACAGAAAAAAAATTATATTTAGCACCAAAGTCGTTTACCGCACTTACACGTCCTTAAGAACAAACATTTTCTTTCTGTTATGAGTAAACAGAAGAATAAGTTTCCTTCTGAGACAGAACTTTTTGTTTCGATTACCTAAACATAAGAAAACATGTACCTCAGTCCCTGAGGTTACTTAAGATAACTTATGAGGACGCACAATAAGAATATAGCAATCACGTGTTCGCGCGAACTGTGACGTCAGATCGTGGATAAAAGAAACATTATGCATTAACGAAGTTTTTGACATGTGACACAGATGTTAGTTGGCTTTGCAGTCTTTACTTTTACCTGGTTCTACGGCTCTTTTAAAGTTAACAGCGATCCAAATTAATAAAGTTCCTACATACACACACGCGACCTTAACAACAGCATTATTAACATTGATTCATGTTTGAAGACGTCTGTCTTCTGGGTTAACTTTCTTTAATGCGCTGAAATCACTCCAACGTTAAGAGCCAACTTCCTTTGTGATCAGATACAAGAAACTTCATCCGCTCACATCAGGTCCAGTTGCACGCAGATAATAACCGAGACCCGAAAAATCGGACACGACATGCATAAACCAGATGAAGAGGTTAATTAAAGGTGAATATTAAGATACCTGAGTATCTTGATCAAGAAGCTATCCTTTCGAACATAAATATTAAGATAACTGAGTATTTTGATCAAGAAGCTATCCTTTCGAACATGACATTAGATTCACCGAGCGGTTATTAAAAATTAAACAACAAATTTTAAAAAAAAATAATTAAAAATCACTTTGCTTCAATTTATGTTTAAGTTACATAAAAAGGCTACGTTGGATATTTATAAACTTCTGATTAGTACAGTTCATTCCAAAAATATATGTTCCTTTTAAGACGAAATCAACCAGGTGAAGCGAGCACAAATACAAAGATTTTTCGTGTTTTCTTCAGTTCCTTACAGAGTCAGAAAACTGTAATAGCAACGCAATTTACAAATAAACAACACGTGATGGCCTAGTTACGCAGTTTTGAAATTAACGATGCGAAACAAATGAATATGGAATCCGAGCAAAATAAAACCACGAAGAGAACTATATTTCTTCAGTAGCATTTATCCATGCAGATTTTTTTAAATGAAAGTCATCGCAGAAGCCACGAGGAATCTTTCATTTACGAAACGAAAATGCTGAGAAAGTAATTGTCATATAATAACGTCGTCCCCTGCGCAACACACGAGGACATTCTGTCGTGATTAAGAGGAAAAAAAGTGGTCAGACATTGCTCATATTTAAAATTAACAAAGGACTCATTCCAGTGTAAAATGGTTGCTAAGTAATATTTTTGTGAGCGCGAAGGTCGCAGATGTGGGGAATCCTGCGAGCGAAGAGAGAGGTGATCATGTGTGCGTGTGTGTGTATGTGTGCGTGAGGATAAAGGTATACAAAATGTTATGACAACTGCGGTTAAAATAAACATATGAATTGAATTTTAAACAGCGTGTGTTTATTTTTATGTAGTCCTCGAATTTCCTTCCAGAACCCTGCCCAGTCATTAACAGCAGTGGGCAGTAAAATGTTACAGGTTAACCCCACCCCCATTCAGAGAAACACAGAAAAATGTCATCGTTTTATGGCTCGGAATACTTTCCAATATCCCACGATCTCCTGCCGTTTCTAATCTTCAGTTCATGTTGATCAATTTGCAAATGTCTTTACAATTAATCACTGACTTTTAAATATGTTTTAGGGAATAATCTCAAAACCGCTGTCTATCCTTACAATATTCCATCGAATTTCGAAACTGTCTCTTAGTTCTAAAGTACCATACGCCCACTTCTATAGCCCCTTAGCGCACATTTAGAACACGTGACTAACTCATTTTAGAGTATTATTTCTTCAAAGGTTGGTACCGGTGCTTACTAAACCTACAAAACTCACTTTGGAGAGAATAAGACAAAAACATGCTAGGAAACACGTTATTTTGCACTCCAGTTTATATTTCCCCAAGAAGATATCGTATACAGTTATAGTTCACAGTTTTAAGCTAAAGTTTTGTCTTCCTGTCTTCTTTTTATAAGTCCCACAAAATACTGAAGGAACATGTCTTTTGTCACTGTGTCTGAGATCATTATAGATGCAAAGTTAATTTCAACCAGCCTCAACCACAGGCTTCATAATATCACTCCATTGTACGTGCGTGATATTATCCTAAACCACTGGGAGTAACTCAAAGCTCTACGTCAGACTAACACATCTAACACGATCCCGAAGATGGCCAATAGAATGGAACACGTCACTCCATTAATAATCACCCCATTATCACTTTAACGACGTGATAAATAATCAAACATTTACGGAAATACGATCGCATCTCTCTCTCCCTGAGATGTAGTGAATCTCCTCTTGTGATCAAACACGTGACACACTGCTTACGTACGTGATTAAATTGGTCGCAATGCATTTACATGCCATTTCAGTTTAAAATAAAAGGAATGCTGCTCATGAATAATACCATCAAAAACTTTAAAAAAGCTACTTGGAGTTGAAATATGTCTACAATTAGTCACTCGAACGCTAATGTCTTTCCTGCAGATAGCTGAGCAACCAAGCACTTCCTTCCTAAGGGAGGGATAAGCTCGTTTTGATGAACTGAGATTAAACACGGAATGTGCCTTAACCCCTCGAAGCCGAGGTTCGTCTAAATATTTAAGGATTCAGTCCGTACCGCAAAGAAAACGCCACACTTCACCATTACGAAGATTAACTGGTTAACCCTTTGAAGTCAAAGCTCGTCTAAATATTACGTATTTAAGAATTCAGTCCGTACCGCGAAGAAAACACGACACTTCACCATTACAAAGATCAACTGGTTAACGCTGTTTAAGGAAATAATCGATGTTTACAGCGAGAATCATACGAAATTCATAAATAAGAAATGAAGGGTTATTAATAATTGAAGCAGATGGTACATATACTTACCACTAGGCTTTAAAATTAAGTATGACTTAAGAAAAATAAGAAACAGTAAAGATAAATACACTCACACACACACATCGTATTAAATCAGGGTAATTAATAACATCTGGACGATAAAATATTCAAATCAAACGCCTTATTTCGTTTCCGGCTTAACTCTCTGGGCTTCTGAACGATGGTTTTTCTTTAACGAGGAGGGCTTCTTAACCCCCGACCTGGAGGACCAGGCCTCCGTATTTGAAATCCCCGGAGCCAGCGCGGCCCAGTTATATTCCAGGCACTGGGTACACAATTTCAGTCGCCTCTTACGACACGCGTGGCTAAGGTGGGACTATTCTTATTCTCCGGTCGCCACATGTCATCCAAATCCGTCCAGCGGTTCTCGAGTAGAATCCTGCGGACAGACGGACGGAGGGACACGACCAGTCAGTCCCATATGCCTTCTTTCCATTCACATCACGCGCGAACCGAAGCCCCGCCCCGTCCTCACGTCGTCATGAAATTTGTCCCACTATCGGAATAATTCAACCGACTTCATTGTCAGATTTTGTGGAACACCCGAATTATAACCTCGCGATAAAAGATCGATGTTGTCGGTATCGTCCAAACACGCGTGCCACCTCACCGCATGTATCTATTATATACGTATAATCAACAGGTCTGTCATGTCTGTCTCTCCGTCCACGTGATTTACCTCGAGAACCGTTGGATGGATTTGGATGAAATTTGGTACAAAGTTTATGTCATTTTGAACGACCCTAAAATCGCACTTTAGAAATTTCCTGCAATATTCTGGCACCGATAATAGCGCCACTTGTAATTTTTTTTTTATTTAGTGTTCTGTCTGACGACATGTCCATATGAACAGGATCCTTCCATCATTTTCTCGGTCTGGGACCTGTTCATATACGTTCTTGGCAGATGATCCAGCAGTGGTTTGCCATTGCCTTCTTCTGTGTGTGAATGGAGTAATTGTTGGGATGCCACGGAGGAAAACTCCGTGTTGCCTAGACCACGGCCTTGCCCAACACAAGTTATAAATTCGAACCCGAGACCCCAGGATTACAAGACCAGCGTTCTAACCATGTAAACTACATATTTTCTTTTGTAAATGTTTGGAAATATTATTTATGACAAAAATACGCCATGGATGTTTTATCCCGGCTGCTGACTTCCTTTCATGACGTCAATGCACGATCCTTCCAAGTAACGCAGGAGTAACCCAGCAACCAGCTCTACTAATGGTGATCCGATGCGTCGTTAAGAATTGTACATTACGACAGATTTGACGGGTGTACGAGTGTCAGGGGACGCCTGGGATTTCTGATGGACAGACAAATTAATGGATGGACTGACTGATGAATGGGCGTGCAGGTAGGGCACACACGCATGGAAGTATCTGGAAGGCTAGGCGCACGGATGAGCAGACATGGCGGCATCTGCCATCTTCAGACAGCGTTGGCCTTCGTATGTTTCTTTCTGAGTGAATTAAAACGATTGTAACAGCGAGGCAGCCATTGGTAAGCGACAATATTTGTAACCACTGATCAGAGTTGCTGTGTGCTGGGTCTGAATACCGCTCGAGGGACGGATATACTCCGCGTGTTTTATGTTGTATAAGTTGAGGCCTTGGAATGGGCCGACGGACACAACTCTTTAAAGCCGAGGCACGTCTAAACAATAGTTAACGATATTTAGCCCGTACCGAAAAGTAAACATGGTTTCTTCAACGAGATACGGCATTCATTTTTTTTTTAAAGACAGAATCTTGGGTATGAAAGTTAACTTAAATTTTAAAACATGTTGTTACAGACAGAAATACTAAGTGTGTGGGGTAAAAAAAAACACTTTTCATGATTCGCACACAAGAAAACCGAGCAGGAATAATCGTTGTCATATTATCACCGTTCACAACTTGTACTGACATGCAAATAATGCACTTGGGCTTATGAGATTTCCATTAAACTTCGTATGATTGTTATATCACACACGGATATCTTATGTATGTGTACGCTATCTTGTCATTAGAATATCTAAAACATGACGTCACGTATTCTAGAGAGTCCTCAATGATGGACGACTCTAACCAAACTTTATCATGCAGAAGATTGCCCTGAGTATCGACATGAGGGAACTTCATGTTATGTGCTCGGAATATGACGACCCTTTAACCTCTAGGCCACTGGTAATCAAACGGTGCACCGCGAGGATTCGGATAGAAATAATGATTATGGAAAACTAAACACACAAATTGAAAAATAATACAAGTCGTTAATATCTAATTATCATCCGCAACTGATCGAAATTTACTGACAGTTACATTTCATAATCGTTCTGTTTTACTGTAATTTTATATTTATATACAATAAATTACATTACTTAAAAGGAATTTAGTAATTTCGTCACAAAATAACATCCCCACACTAACTAATTTTCATGAAAATGGCCATCATATATGGTTATTAAAATGTATGAATCTGAAAGTCAAATACCCTCTTTCTTTGAAGATCTAAACATATTTTTGCACGAATATACGTTGAAACACATTTCACTTGAAGTACTGTTAATCACTATTATACGAACTACGATATATATGTAATGTATATCTCTCTGTGACTGAAGTACCGAGCTTTGCAAATTTATGAACCACTAAGCTTAAGCTCCATATACTCGTCCTCTTTCAATACATTTTGAAATTACGTTAATCTGTCCTTAAACCCCTGCTAACGTCAAATCAACGCAGCAAATCAGTAGAGGCCTAACTGTAATCGATCGATCAACTTCATTAACCATGTTTAAAGTGGCACGTTTATCACTGTGACACTGAGGAGAATGCTTTAAATATAACTTTTATTTGGACACCCCTCGCACATGTCTAGGGGACGAAACAGCCACTGGAAATTTGCTACGAGGATACCCTACAATTTACAAGTGTCCTGGTGTCGAGTTTTGCTCCCTTATTCAAACTGCCACGTTGTGGCGCTACTTACCGGAACACTGCATTCGATTCCACCATCTTGTAAAAACTCGACCTATCTCAGAAGACTGTAACATCTTCTTCTCCCACTGAAGTAATCCTCTCGTGTCAGAAATATACGTCACATTTATCTGAATAAAAACTTTTATCAAAATGGCATTCTAACCACAAACATGAAAACACTTAGCTACGCCACGTCACTTCACTAACACACGTGTCACTACCGAACACCAATACTTTCCGATTCTCTAACAACGTACACGCCCGCAAGCAATGAAAAATAACTTCTCAGTTTTCAAAACCACAGGTGTAATGAACATACAGATCCGTAACTCAATGCTGTTGTTGCTTGCTCTGCCATCTAATGTTCATTAGAAATATCAATGGTAATGACGTACTGATAGCAGGGTTCAGTCGATAAAAGAGTTAGGTGCTATTCAATCTCAACGTTGGCAATAAATTTTGTTGTTGTCACGAGAAAATTGATACAAATACATTATGGACATCTGACCAAAATACGAAAACATATGAAAATGTTACAGGTCCATTTATTTGTGTGAAATCAGTAGTTCAATTGTGCCGTTTCAGATCAAGTTATAGAAACACTTTACAGGCTTGTGCTCAATGTTTATTTGAAAGTTATAATATTGCTGAAAATAAAAAGATAATTCCCACTTACAAATCATAGCTGCTAGTTGATAAGGGAGACAGTGTAAGAATGATTGTAAGGAAAGAAAAGGGGCCCTTTTGACAAGAAAATTTTTTGTAGGTTATACAGCCATCCTTCTAGAGCACACTGACATTTTCATAGACCAGAACCTAGAAATACAATCATACAGCCATGTTACGTGATGTGGTGCCGTGTCTTAAAGTCTATGGTGGGCCAACTAGGGATACCAGTGCCTAAAATGACTTAAAAGACACTTTAGGCATTTAAAGGTTAAGTGCAGGTCATCTGAAAGACATTCCAAGCCAAGATGTTAGCCAAGCCTTGACTGTTAACACTGTAGTTGCTTGCATATTTGTAAATGACACAGATCATTGTATCACGTTTCTCGTAATTTTCGTTGTACACCCACACCACGCCTAACTTATAATTGGGCATCGCGGAAGATGAAGTTCAGGGAGGCAGCAAGGATCTCTGAAACGTCCATAAACTTCTAGCAGGCTATAAGTCTGCTCACGTTAGACATATGCAAATGTGGGAGGCAGGAAGACCACAAAAATCGAAGAGACGTTAAAGTCTAAAATGGCAGAACATTCCTTAAATGAGGAGTACAGAATAGAATTTTACATTCCACAGATCCTTCACAGGCCAAAGCCAAGGATGTAGAACAGGTCATAGCGCAAATACAATATTTGTTTCTAGCACAAACATAATTACATAGTAATAACAGCTATTTACAGATTTTTCGAATTACAGTATTACAACAAAATAATTATGACGAGAAACCATCACCATTGTTACTTTCATGTATTTATAAATTCTTCTACTGAGCAGATCCTCTTTTAACGCTGGCTTAAACATTTTTATATCGTGACGTAAACTTTTGATTGTAGGTTGAAGATTATTGATTAACATAATTCCAGGTAGAAAACTCCTTTTTGATATTCACTGAGGTTAGAATTCGTCACACGAAGGTTGTATCTGTATCTTGTTCTTACATTGTGAATATCTGAATATTTTTTTGCAATTTTTCCATGTCATCCACTACAAATGATAATAACGAGAGCGAGAATTCACTGGGTAGTGGAAGAACATTAAACTTCTTAAATAATTCCCTACAAGAGGCTCTCCTTTTAGCACCTGCCATCTTCTTTTGAATGTAAAAAAAATCTTTTCCTACCCATTGAATTTTCCCAGAAAATTATTCCATACGACATGATGAAATCGAAGTAAGCAAAATAAACTAATTTCAATGTTTCTGTTGTCACGACTGCTGCAACTGCCCTCATAGCGAAACATGCCGAGCTTAGTTGAGTGATGAAGTATTGAATATGATTTTTCAATTTTAATTCGCTGTCAATTTGGAGGCCAAGAAATTTTGCTGTTTCTACTTCTTCAATTGTTTTATCCTCATACTCTATGCTGTTTAGGTCAACTCTCAAACATCGCAGGTCAACAGAGATTTGAATACGACAATATTACAGCCACAAGGAATTCAAGCTGTCATGAGAAGTCTAAAGAAGCAAAGAAACATTACAGATTATTTAAGGCTTAATTTATATCATCCAAACAGAATGAAAGTATTTCTAACAAAATTACATACACTGGGCTCATGCGCGTATGAAATATGAGATGCAAATAAAAACTACTGTTCATTCCAAAAGGTCGTAGTCCTCCTCATCTCGTTTCCGTTTCATTCCAGAAGGAAAATCATTCGCTTCAACCTTGATGGCTGCATTTGGAGCATTTCCTGTCGACATTGCCATTTGGAACTTGGGTTTGGTTATCGGTTTTGAAGTTGGAGTTGCTGCAACAACGCGCACATATTCATTTCTGTGTTCAAATCCGACTTCAGACAAGCAATTTTATTTGCAAAAACTCTCTCACTCTGAGGGAGGAACACAGATTGCAGGTGTTTGAAAATCGGGTGTTGAGGAGGATATTTGGGCCTAGGAGAGAAGACGATGGGGCGTGGAGAAAACTGCATAATGACGAGCTTAAAAATCTGTACTCCTCCCCCAGTATTGTCAGGGTGATTAAGTCGAGAAGAATGAGATGGGCTGGGCATGTAGCGCGCATGGATGGGACAAGAGGTGTGCACCGGGTAGCCTGAGGGGAAGAGACCCCTGGGGAAACCTAGACGTAGATGGGAGGATAATCTCAGGCGGGATCTATGGGAGATAGGAGTTGAAGGAGACTGGATTTTGTTGGCCCAGGACAGGGTCCGGTGGAGGGCTTTGGTTAATTCGGTGATGAACCTTCGGGTTCGGTAAGCCATCTAGGTAGTTATCACCACTTAATAATCACTGTCATTATCATCATAATTTTAATGATCATTATGAAGTATGCCATATGGAATCTGGCAGAAGGCACCACAAATACTTCTTACAGTCACTGACACTGGGTGGAAGACGTGACAGATAAAAGTGGCACACAGGTTTCTCTCTGCTCATGCAAAAATGTAAAGAATGCCTAAAAAGTTGACAAGGCTTTGGTAGATACGTTAATCAATGATTATTATACCATCTAAAGGCAACACAAAACAAATTTGTTTCTGGTCTCACAAACACTTGCTGGGGTCCAAGTGATGATGCTGATTATTAGCCACATCTTACCTGAAGAAAATTTGATCACAGGTTTAGGTATGGTGATGGCCTGAGTTCTTGCCACTGTTGCCAATGTTCCCGGTCGCTTTACGATAGACAGTGACTGCGGTTGCTTGTTCTGTATCTTGACTCCTGTCGCATTCACACTGCCATGTGTGAGATGCGATGTAACGCCTGCGTTCATATAGCCTGCGTTGCCCCCTGCCATCGTGTGATGATGGACTTGCTTTGTCTGGGGCTGCGGATAGAAGTTTATTAACCAAAACACCTACATATTATGAATAAACGTGCGGAAGATTACAAGCACAAAAATTCACGCTGTTGTGAGGAAAAGTACAAACAGTTCACAAAAACAAATGACTATTACACATTAACACCAGTTGTGTAAAAAGTTTGTGACTTCTGCGAAAGCGCCGAACAAAACGTTTTGGACCGGCCATATTTTTCAATCATCGGAGCTCGTTCTCCCCACTGTTAGCGCGGAAAATCAAGAGTTTGCATTTTCGATCGATAGACAGATTTATTAAGAGCAATTATCTTGACATTAACAGAAACTCCAAAAGTACGTAAACACTAAATTATATAGAACCATTTCACCATACCTTCTTATTACTTCTCAATCTGTAATTGCACGAGGATAGACAGTAACGGTCTGGGGGTAATCGAAGACCACAGTGGGGTTTGATAAGTGGAAGTGGACTGTTGTTCTTTGTTCTTGCGACCTCCAGCAGAATCTGTTCAACATGAAGCAGGGAGAAACAGTTGATTTGAGATCATCAACCACAGCACGAAATCATTGTGCGCTCAAACGGCTGCCTTCTGGGTTGTTGCAACACATTGCTCTGTAGAAGTTTACCAACATTTCAGAGGCGCTTGCTGCCTCTGCCGTCACGGCAATGTGTAAGCCACGGGTGAGGAATTGATCCAGCCAGTTCCTTATTTCCTCCCTCCCACCTCTTATGTTATCTCCCTTGTATCTTACCTTTTTCTCCTACATTCTTCCTCTTTTCCTTTTATCCATATTTCATATAGCACCTCTTCTATCACTTCTTTTTATCCTCATTTCCTTGTGCTCATTGAATTCCCTGTTGGTCCCCTCAAACGCCGCTTTCTTTCCTCTCTCCTTGTATGTACACATTACACCTGTCTTCCTCCTCCCTTCTGACCAGGTTGTATTTAGTCGCACTTATCCACTGGCTCTCTTACTCCCACCCAATCCACACCCCATTCATCTGGCCAAGGATCTACCATGTCCGACTTGTTCCCACTTATTCATCCTGATGATGGAGGCAACATGCACCTCTGAAATGTCAGTAACTACACAGTGCAAACAAACCCATAAGACAGCCATGAGAATATGACCTCTAACATCAGGTACTTACATCACGAGGTGGAGGAGTTGTAAATGCACGATCTATAGTCATCTGAACTGCCAATTTCACGTCTTCTAAGTCTATCACTTTCTTCTTTGCATGATTTGCAAACACTCTGGCATCATCCAATATACAGGTTATATAACCTTAATCAAAACCACAATAGTTTTAATAATTAATAAATCACAACACACTTCAGCATAACCCAAAACTAAGTTAGTGGTTAAATAACCTAAATTGTATGCACGTACTTCTTCTCACAAAGCTCTGAAAGATGGATCTTCCTTTCTCTTCAGGTACCAAAGGGTGCAACGCCTATTCTGTTGAATACAAATGATCAAGCTACTCTTTATGTGTGAGTCACACAAAGAAATACTGTATTTTGATAATAATCAACTGGCAATGGATAAGTCCAATACAAAAAAATAGTATAAAAAATTCATATTACAGTACAATGATCAATTAAGTCATCAATGTTGGTCTTTTCAGTTGTAATACTGTGTGGACTTGTACCAACATTTCGGAGGAATATGCTGCCTTCATCTTCAGGACTGAGAGATTAGCACAAGACAAACATTATCTTCACTGTAATGAGAATCTCAAATCTCATACATGACCAGTTAGTTCCTACAGAGAACTTCATATAAGCTATTCGGCTTACTAGCAAGACCCAAATTCAGTAATAGTTGGTACATCTTGTGGTACATCAGAAACAGCTATTTTACAAACACGTAACAGACATCACTACATCATACAGTGTAAATGGATGATATCCTATATTACATGCACCTAAAACCAATGGTGGAGGTTGTTCTTGTATCTCATCAATTGTTATACAACCACCTCCTTCTTTTTCATACTTACGATATGTAAATTCCAAAAGCTGGTTTACGGCGCGTGGCTCATATTCATGAATACCCATATCTTTCATAATAGACATAATTACTTGAGCATCCTTCGGTATATGCTTAGCCTGCACAGCCATTCTGAAGTTTCTGTAAACGTACCAGGCATGGATTGTACCGAACACGAATACCAACATAGAGATCGGTACAGAAACTAATATTGTATTAGAAACATTATATTCATACTATAACAAGTTCTACATACTTGGCTTAGGCCTACGAAGGATATGGAATGTAAATAAAGAAAATTCTATTCTCATATCCTATCACGTCCTACGTACTGAATACGGGATATTATTTAAATTTAATGCTTAAGGTAACAATGCTTTTACCATCTAGGACAGTCACAAAAGAACGGTGTTTACAACTTGAAGAACTAAAACAGCACGCATTCATTACTTCAGCCCTAAATTCGTCTGACTTTTAGTTTGTTCTGCCCTGTTTACTAATAACCAGTTTGTAATGAATGTTGTTAGTTCATGCCAACGTTGGCAACTCATGTAGGGTATTACGTCACGTGTATATTATGCTGCCGTCTATCACCATGAAATGGAACTGGTGAGAAAGTTGGTATGTTGCCGTTGGTTATGGTAGGTTAAAAATTTTACTCTATCGAACTCATTAATCATGATCTTTGCCTGAGCTGGCATGACCACGTTTTTTAAATGGCGTTACAACTATTAATTTAGCACCGCATAAAATTAACACACAAAAAGAAAATCTTGCATATCTCAGCATGTTTACAAGACTCTAGGAATTATATTTTGGTACTTAGCCCAAAGTTCTGCATCAATTTTGAACCTCAACGCGTTTCCTAATGGTAACCTGAAAGGCATCCTATGTGGCAGAGTGGAAGGTCACATTTTTTTCTCTTGTAGGGTGTTTGGCATGTCCTGAATGTGCCCACCCCATTTTTCCGTGCACAATCCATAAACCTTTGCCCACCCCATAAATTTTTCCAAGCACTGGAGCATGGCAAACTTCTCTTCCTGCCTTTATGCTTACGCAATGTGTAAGTTCCAATCAGTTGCTGCACTGAATTTTTCTGATTGGTCAGCTGCCTGTTGCCATGAGCTGTACAAAACGGTCTACATGTGATATAAGATAAAATGCAATATTAACCCCTTGGATTCAAAACTCTTCTAAATAATATTTTAAAAAATCAATTCATAATACAAATAAAAAACAACCTGTCACCACTACAAAGATTAGATGGTTAATGCTGTTTAGGGAAATAATCATTGTTCATTCTGAAACACATGAAACCATAAATATGCTCTATGGGCAAAATGTAGAGTTCCTGAATATTAAAGCAGATGGCACATATAATTACCATCCAGACTTAAAAGGTTAACACAGTCAATGGTTACCCTGCTGATATCAAAGCCTCCCATATGGTCTCTGTAAGTCTACTGGAAATCCCAGGAGGTTCAATACAAGGATCTCAAGTGATTTTGCAACTCCATCAATAATGTATTATGATTCCTCCCAAAATAAATTTTGTAATACAAAACTTTGTTAATCATGCTCTTAACCTCAAAAATAAATGTGGGAAATATTTCAATATGACACTTACCCATATAAGATTTGAGGTTCTCATGGCAATGAAGATAAATGTTGGTCTTGTGGGTTGTAACATTACATGAAGTTGTAGGCAGATAAAAAACACTTTGGAGTATGCCACTTACCTGTTAGTATAATTTAGGTTTTTATTAAGCCCAGTTTCTTTTCTCAATACAAATGACCACAAAATTTCATATAATAAAATAACATTTCAATATTAATAATTATTCTGCAGTATATTAGTAATTTATGACTAGTTTTTTTTTTAAAAAAGCATATTTCTGAGACAGAAAAGAGGAAAATACACAGTATTGAATTACATTTCAAGAATACAGGAGAAACTTACTTAGTGGGATTACTTAACATCCTTGCATAAATTTGTACTAAGCATCCACATGACTTCCACCTAAAATATGAAATTCCAGTACATAAAATAATATAAAATATGTCAGACTATAACATTTTAAATAAAATCATCAAATGAACACCACTGTACGCACATTTAAACAAAGTTTATTGACTGTCACCATGGTATCTTAAGAGTGCTGATGAAAGCACAAGGATTCAAATATTTGCAGACAATAAAACAAAGTATCCAATTCACAGACATTACCAGTCTTCCAATTTGGATACATGCAACATTGAAAATACCCACATTGGTAAATATGAAAATAAAAGCCGACAACTGCATCCTCTCCCAAGCCATTTCAAATTTCTTCAAGACAAGAACATAAGCATTCATGATCCATTTTAATATTAATCTACTGAAGCCAGTACACAGCATGACACAAGAAGAAACTTTAAAGAGTGAGAGCATAAAATTGAAAAGCTGTCAGAAGACACTAACACAGATTTTTATAAACTGATGAACTGTCTGAATGAGATGACTCTGAGTCATGAACCACCGGAAAATAGCAGTTACAAAAGTGGCACTATGAAATTTTATACACAAAATATGAATTGACAACAAAATTAATGAACACCCGGCAAATCAGACTCGGTTATCAAAATACAGGCAATAGAACAAAGGAACTTAAAGATTCTAGCAGTCTTATCCCACAAACTGTTTTGGGCAGGGTTTGTTTAGAATCCCATTTATTACATACATAAAAGAATTTCAGGAAGCCACATTTCAACTTTGGTTATAATTTATAACAGCATATTACCCAAAAGGCCCATAGCTATGTTAACTTTCATAGCATCAGCAAAATATTTTATCTGATCAAATTATTTACCTCCTATAACTCACAAAAATAATCTCAAAACCTAACATAACCTTGAAATGTATCTTCATTACTTTTACAGGACAGTTCTATGTTACAGTATACACATTTTTCATCTTATATTACAAAGGATATTTCTTTTGCTGTAGTTACTTGGCTATTGAACAATGAATATAATTAACACTGTTTATCAGAATCATCATTATCATCTAATAAATATAATTTTAAACCACTATAAATGTGCAAGCACCAAAATGTTCCAAATATAACCTAAAAGCTGGTATGTACAAATGTTTACTCTAATATGTACGTTATTCTTAATCAATTCCAAGACACATGTAAGAAAATTATAGATGTTTTGTTTTCATTATAGGACTACTAGATTCAGAGCCTTTAATAACATGGCCCAACAACGATATAATTCCTTCCTCTGCCATTATTTTACTTCACTAGCAGTACGAGAGCTTTTGAATATAAAAACTGAGTTAGTTACCTTCTGGAGCTTACACAGTCAATGTCAAAAATACAACAGATCTCTGGTAAATACTACAGCATTTAAACTAAACTCAATATAAAAATAAAGTAATATACAAAATTCAAACAGAGTTTTTCTTTCGTGAGATTTCAAGTTCCGATGGGAGTGACAAAATGTTTCTAAATCATTGATCACTTTCTACAAGACTACATGGTGCAATATTTAAGAAGACGATCATCTTCAGAGTATATTTTTTAACCAATGGTGCAACATTTAAGAAGACAATCATCTTCAGAGTATATTTTTTAACCAGAATTTAATTTCACATTCTGTATACAGCTACGTAATTAACAATACTGTTATATGTAAACTTCATACACTAATCCGTACATGAGTTTAGTTTATGGTGTTATGCTGGTACAACAATTCTGGCGAGCTACTGACACAACTTTCACACACGTTTACAGTGAATCAGAGAAAAACCCTTAATAGCTTGGATCTTCATTACAATGCATATTTATGGCTTAAATGTGGTTCATTTCTGAACAACCTAT